TAACACACATTACTATAATACATATATATATATATATAAAATACAACGTTTACATACATCCGCTATACTAAAAGTAGTAGTAATTATATTCATATCATCATTATCTTCAACAGCACCTTTTCCATCATCATCATCATCATCACTTTCACACCGTGTTACACTTTGTTGGAAGAGTCTTGCCAAAAACACTTCCTTCTGGCATTGAATTTTGCTTCTAAGTACTTAATCGTCTTGATTCCTTGACAAAAAAGATCAAGAAGTATGCTCTCAGTGGGATCGATTTGTAAGAAGCTACACAGGTGGTCGTATTTTTTTCTTCTTTTCTTTCTCTCTACTTTTTTTCTTTTTTTTTTTCTCTTTCACAAACGCACTCACACTAAGGCAGGAGAGCAACTGAGCTCGGAAAGCGCAAACTTGTTGACATCACGAAAGTAGAAATTTTCTAATCTAAACCAACCACTGTATATATTATAAATTTAATTTGTATGAATGGCCTGAGAAGAAGAAAGAAGAGAGAGAGAGAGATAGATGAGATGGATAAGTGAGAAGAATGATATAGAGAGATAGGACTGGATGAGAAGATAAGTAGCAGAGAGAGAGAGATGTGAGAGAGAGAAGAGAGATAAGAGATTGAAGATGATACAGAGAACAACACAGCCAAGATATATGTATAGAAGAAATAATATGAAAATATTTATTATATAATATAAAGTACTATCGTGGTCAGATAAATGTAGTTGTCTGTAAGACTACAAATATGTATTCATATCATTGCTATCATTAATAAACCCTTTTATTGTAAGATTTATATATTTCCAGTGCATAATTACTATAATGAATACATTTATTGAATAATTTGTTAATGCACTGTCGCTATCCTGCTATATCAGGTGCTTGCAATTCATTATGGTATATTAGCTCTGCGGTACGTTATTATATGGTTATTAGCTATAGTCCGCTACATCACGGAGAACGCTCTTTACTATCAATAATATAACTAGGGCTGGTCAACGCGTATTCCTCAAAAGAGACGCTTAACTCGACTCCTTACTGCCCGCTCGTTTGCCACTAACCTCTAAACCAACCTCACTCAAGATGCACTCTACGATACACCTTTCTACATGCAGGGCATATCATGGGTGCGCTCGTGCAAACTGTTACTCGCCAGCGCCCGCCGCATTCCAACTCATTAAAACTTTAGCCTAAACGACTAACGAACTGTATGTCCACCTTGTATGTATGTATGGACTGTACGCCCTCTCACATCTCTAATTAAGAACGGCAACCTTCAATATATGACTATTATGAACGTCTATACTCTCCGACTCCTCTTATTCACTCCATACTAGGTAAGTCTTGCCAGAATCAGCAGACCTGACTGTAAGCTAATAGCCACCTTAAGCAGCCACAGCAGCCGCGCAGCCCCCAGCAGCCCAATCAACAACAGGTACAAAACTAACAATTCGACACTCGGTATAATATGTGAAGATGTGGTGAGGGGGGAGGGTGGTGTGGGGTATGTAGGTGGTGGAGGGTCGGTGTCGGTGGTGTTGTGCTGCTGTCGTTGTGTGTGTGTGTGTGTGTGTGTGTGTGTTATAATACCCTATAGGAGCGCAGATGGAGGATCCAGTATAATATATATACCAGCCCTTTATACTCATCAGCACATTATATATATATGTTAGGCCCCTAAGCTATTATTCATCCATATATACTGTACGTCACATACTACTATATAATACTGTATCTGCCTATATTCAGCAGCACTCCTCTCATATACATACAACGCTTATACATAACAGTACAGCAGCAACAGAAGACCTTAAAGGTCGACTGCAGGTCAATTCATATTGCCTCCTGAGGTGTAGTGTAGGTGACTGTCTTGAGTGTTTTGTGTCGGGTGTACTGATAGTCGTAGGTGGCTGGTGAGTGGTCGTGTGGCTGTGTGTGTGTGAGTGTGGTGTGTGTGAGTCCGCCGTGTGTGTGTGTGTGTATGCCATATATGCGATCATAGCCTATGTACTAACGACGCTGGAGATCCTCCAGAACGACGGTACAGTATCCCAGGGCATGAACGAGGGCAGCGTGAATCACCGGTAGTATATATAAGCGATCTCATACCGTAGTCAATACACTATAGCGACATAGTGTGAGTTAGTCGGTGCGTAGGAGGTCACGCCGGCAGTCTAGGTGAGCAGCATCTTGGCGGCGAGCGCCCAAAAGCCCCCGGTTTTTCCTTCGACGGGGAGGGGGTGAACCTGGGTCCCTCCGGCCCGATGACCCTCCTGCAGATCGGCCTCGTCACTGGGCAGATCTACATCTTCGACGTGATGGTGGAAAGGAACCTCATGTACGAGGGCGGCCTCAGGGAGCTGCTCGAGTCCTCCGACATCGTCAAGGTAAGCGCTGGACTCCTTTGGCTCAATGTGTTCATGGACTTCCTTGGGTACTTTTGCAGACAGTCAAGATGTGTTTGGATGAGGATGATTTTTTTTAGCGGTCGTTATTTTTACTTGCAATTTCACTACGGTAATGCATCGTGACGTTAACCATAGCCTGCAACATCGACACGATCATAGGCCTGAACGTTCGATTTAAATTTACTTTCAAACCGGTTATAGATTACAGCTTGGAATGTTTATCCCATTGGCGAAGGGAAGTGGGAATTAAGTAAGAAATGGGATAGGTTAGGATAGGAAGAAGGGAAAATGCGGTTGTTTATTGGGGAAAGGGATGATGCTGATAACCTGTACTGCGAAATTTATCTCGCTCATCCTCTTCGTACCTGTTTCCTTCCTCTTAATTTAGGCGACTCCCCCCACACATGTGTGTGTGTGGGAAGTCACCTTGTTCTCTCTCTCCCTCGTCCTTTCCTCCCCATGCTCTACCCGTAAAGATCAGAGCCAAAACAGAACGGGATAAACATATAGAGAAGTAAAACACCTTCATTTTTATTTTTATAAGATTTTCCCGCAGATGCAAAGATCCTCCACTCTTTCCAATTTTCCACGGAATATAACTAGCAGAGATCGTGGTGAATGTGAACATGTGCTGCTTTTGACGTTGCTAAGCAACGGCAGACACGAGAGAGAGAGAGAGAGAGAGAGAGAGAGAGAGAGAGAGAGAGAGAGAGAGAGAGAGAGAGAGAGAGAGAGAGAGAGAGAGAGAGAGAGAGAGAGAGAGAAGAGAAAGAGAAAGAGAGAGAGAGAAAAGAGGAAAAGAGAAAAAAAGAGAGAAAAGAGAGAGAAGGGAGAAAAAAGAGAGAAGAGAGAAAAAAGAGAGAGAGAAGAGAGCTGGAAAGGAAGAGACATTGGGGGTATTTCGGACATTAAATTCAAAATACATGAATATGAAACTAACCACAATGAGAATTGAAAATAAGCAAGAATCATATTCACCCTTTGATTTCCGTACGTTTCAGTCGTTTGTCGGGTCATTCTGAGTTCTGGAAACTAACGTGAAAGGCAATGGTCACAGGTCATTGGTGGCCAGTGTGTGACCCTAGATCCCTTTGCCCACCTGCCTTCCCCCCTGTTGTGTGACCTTAGCCCCTGCCCACACCTGGTCACCACCTGCCCCCCTCCCCCCTCTTTACTCCTATTTTTGTTACGCGAGGAAGCGATCCGTGACGCCAGCTGCAGTGATGCTTATGAACATTTCGGACATTTGCATTTAGGAAAGCATGCACGGCAGAACTTCCTCTTCCTACGCATGCAAATCTAGAGTAAGTGAAGAGGATAGTTAATCTAGAGTCATCATAGGCCTTGGGAACCACTGCCGGTGTAGTCATTATTAGCCATGATAACAAATCCAGGGTCATTATATAGGCCTGTGAGAAGTCCGTTTCCAAGATGGCGCGAGGCTGAGCGTTCCACGGGGGCATCGAGGGAGAGCCATTGATCAGTGCCGCGCCGACAGCCGCCCCGTAACAGCTGGCGTCACACCTCCCCTGCGTGACCTCCGGCGCGGCGGGGGTAACGGGCCGGGGCTGCCGGAGATGACCTCGGCTAAAGGAACAGTTATTAGGTCGGATCGCTCTAATAGGCGGTAGCGGGGTTGGTAATGAGGAATGATAAGGCTATTTGTTGCGTGATTGTTGGTGGAAACGCTGTTAATGAATCGCGGCCCCGCCCCCTCCGCTTCCTCTCTCCCCCCGGCTGTACCTGGCCCTCGGGGCAGTGACGTCAGCATCTTGGCGAGACCTTTCCGAGAAATGAAGTCGGCGATTAGCTGCTCGGAAGGAGGCCTTGTCTGCGTTGGCCTTTTGGGGCGGCGGGGAAAGTTGTTGGCATTATGTGCATGTGTTTGCGCATGCACACACACGCGCACGTATACACATGCATGCATATACACGCATACGAATACGCGCACACGCATACAAATACGCGCACACGCAAACAAATACGCGCACACGGAAACATATACGCGCAAACCCATGCACGCACACACACGGACATACGCACACGGACACACGCACACGGACACGCACACACGCACGCACATACACACACGCACACACATACACACACGCACACACATACACACACGCACACACATACACACACGCACACACATACACACACACACACACACACACACACACACACACACACACACACACACACACACACACACACACACACACACACACACACACACACACACACACACACACACCACACGCACACACACGCCCCCCCCCCCCACACGCCCCCCCCAACACACACGCCCCCACAACACACACGCCCCCCCAACACACGCCCCCCCCACATACGCCCCCCCCCACACGCCCCCCCCACACACGCCCCCCCACACACACACGCCCCCACACACACACGCCCCCCCACCACCCACACACACACCGCCTCACCCCCACACACGCACAACAACACACCCGGCAGGCCCCCGCTCAACAGTTGCGAATCCACATCACACCCTCGAAAGACGACAAGGAGGCTCCCGAGAAAACAGATTAGAAGGGGATCAGCCAAGGCGAGAGCGAGGAGAAGTTAGTTTACGGAAATGGATGTGGAGAGGCTGTCATCTCTCGGCTGTTTGGCTGCATTCGTTAGGCTTTGTTATGTAATGCGGTTTTTGGGGAAGACGGTACTGCTGGTGCTGATAGATTGGTGGAGGGGGAAGGGGTGGGGTGGGGGTGGGGGTATTGATTACTTTTTGTGGGGTATTAGTTGTGTGTTTTTATGTATTATTTTTTTGTGTGTTTTTATTGATTTTTTAATGTATGGTTATTGATGTACTACTTGTTTATATAAGCTGTTGATTTGGATAAATGATTGTTAGGATTTTTTTCAAAACTGATACGTAATGTTAATTTGACCTAATTTGACCTGGGGAGGGGCCAGGTAAAATCCTTTCTTCCTTGTAGTATTTGCAATTTTTAATCCCAATTGGCGTGAAAGATATACCTGAGAAGATTAGTCGTTTCAGGTATTTAATGCCATTAGGGAATACCTGGGCGGATTAGCGTTTTCGCACGCATGTCAAATCGTTTCTTGGAAATTCGTGCATCATTTGCATTTTTCCGGGTTCAAATATGCAAAAATAGAAGGGCTCGGGATAAAAAAGAAAAAAAATAAGGTAAAGAAATGGACGATTGTTTCGTGGGATAGGTAAAATATATGAACAAGAATTGATGATTATAAGTATTATTAAGTTGAAGAGGAGAAAAAGAAATGAAGAAGTGTGAAGCCAAGGTGAGAGAGAAATATAATGAAATACATCCATAGAAAATGCAGGATTGAGACTCCTCTTCCTTTTCAATATCCTTTCCCAATTCCTCCCCAGTAATCCGTATTCCTTCACCCTTTCCTCTAGCCAGTCCACCCCCCCCCCCCGTCTCCCGACAGTCAAACCCTTCCCCTCACAGCAGTCAAACACCCATCCCCTTACCCCTCCCTTCACAGCAGTCAACCCTCTTCTCCCTCCCTTTCCCCTCCTTCTCCTCCTCCTTTCTCTTCCCCTTCTTCATCCCCTCTCCTCCCCCCTTTCCCCTCCTCCCTCTCCATCCCCCCTCCTCCCTCCCCTTCCCCCTTCTCCCTCCCCTCCCCCTCTTCCTCCTCCCTTCCCCTCTTCCCTCCCCGCCTCTCTCTCCTCCTCTTTTCCCTTCCCCCTCTCCATCCCCTCTCTGCCCTTCCCTCCTCCCCTCCTCCCTCTCCTCCTCTCCCTCCCCCCTTCCTTCCTCCCCCTCCCGTTACCGAGCCATGTCTCCTGAGGGTGCCGTCGCTTCCCTGCCCGCCGGTTCCAACCCTTTCCGCGAGCGAAGGAACTCCTCTTTGAAGGATTAGTGCTGCCGAGATGGGATTAGATCGCCTGGTTTTCGAATCTGATCGCACGACCCGGTTCCGTGTACCGCATGACTTATCTTCGAATCTGAAATAAGAACAATTATTTGTCGTCGTTTATTGATCTAGGTTGTTTGGCAATTTATATGATATAATTTCGGATATAAAGCTGGGTTATTTTGCTTCGGAGATTAGTTCACATAATTTCCTATGTAAATTGGGTTATCTTGTAATGTAAATAATTATTTTTTATCGGCTTTAGATTTAGTTTGTCTTTTGTACGCAAGTAAATGAATTATTCATTTGCAGACAAGCAATCTAGGTTGTCTTTTATCGATACAAACCAATCATTCAGTCTATCGATACAAACCAATCATCCAGATAGTTTTTATCCAAGCCTAATCCTAATTCCCAGTTCACCAATCCTAATGGTTCCAGTTTTTTTTAATCCAACCCAGAGGCCGCTTGGGATGGAAACGCAGAAAGGGCATCGCCTATTATATGGGTGTCAGGATCGCCCTTGGTAATTGGTCATGGGTCCTTTAATTAGCCCGGAGTTCTGCTAATTGGTCCGGCGCGAGATAGGTCATGTGGCGGAGGGGTTGCCAGTTGTTGTGTTTACTGGGGGGAGGAAGGGGGTTTGGTTGAATTCGTTATGATTGGTTCGTTTGGTGGTTTGAATGCGTGTCATTGCTTTGTAAAATGGGACTGGGAAAGTATGTTTAATTGTGTTTATAAAGATAAATTGTTTATATAGTTCTTCTACGGATTATTTGTAAATTATATTATTTTTTCTTATCCCATATGGTTATTTGTTTTACAGTTAAAATATATAATGATACTGATTGTTGTTTAGATACTGCTTTTATTTTGTTTAGGGAGGGAGCACATTTTATGGATGCAGAGTTTATTAATGCACGTAAACAAAACATAGGAAGTAAAGATTAGAAATGAGTTAAGGAATTAGAAATGGATGAGTAAATGAAAGTACGTTTGAAAGGAAAATGATACTTAAATAATCAGTACAGTAGATTAAAAAGAATTTCAAAACAGAAATATGAAGAAATAAATAAAGAACGAAAAGATATAAAGATGAG